TCCGATAGAAGACAGCCTGTGTAGGTTCCGCCAGAAAGAAAAGAATATCACATCCCATGTATCGTGTGAAAATCTACAGATGATCTACGGTCTACAATTTAAAATATATATAATTTTCCCCATTCTTTCATGGCTAATTTTATATCAAACGCAGTATTTTTTGAGTCACTGTCACTGAACTACATCAGTTTCAGGAAGTCGTAGGTGTTCGTTGAATCTGTTTTGAGAAATAATGTACTGGATAATACTACCAGTGCTGTGATTGATATTTGCAGTTCCTGGAGGTATTGAATTGTGGAGGATCCATAAATATTTCGCGTCGTGATAGCCGTCGTTATTTTTAGAAATGTTTGAATCTTTCCATGAAGTCATTGGAACTGCCGATATAACGTCTCTAATTTCACCGTATCGTCAACAAAAATTTTGTTTGTGCAGGGTGTAGCAGAAACGTGATAAACATTCAGGGCATAAAAACAAATAAATAAAAACTGTAAAAGTGATTCTAAGGGCTCTAAAATCCATCAAAGATTGGACGATAAACATAATTTTTTAACAATTACTAGCAAAAACCACTGATATTATAGACTTCAAACTTTGTACAGTTCATAGCAGCTTCCTGCAGGTAATATTTTATCAAAAATTAACCAGTGGCGTCTAAATCTGTTAAAAAGGGTATCTTTTTCAAATTTTACATGACTGGAAGAGCGCTGTATCAAAAGCGAATTCTGGATCTTCCACTATTCTTTAGTAGCTAACAAAGAATTGTGTTTCACATCCGATATTTGAAGGGTTGTAGCGCCCTTAGAAATCGTTTCAAGAAAAATAGTTTCTTCGCTTGTTTTACGAGTGAAATTAGCTCTAAAGCAACATAGCATCATCCCTGTTGCACCCTGTATAGAAAACATTTTTGACACGCTAAATTTGACTGATTTTACTTACAATTATTGTTCGGTTTTCAGGAACAGAATGTTTAAGTCGCAATTAAGATGGCTGTTAATTTAATTACTGTATTTTCAACAAGCCAACTGCTAAAAGTTACTTTAAATATTTATTACAATGTAATAGTAAACTAAAACAGTAACAAAAAGCAATAAAGTTATGACTAACTTGAAACTGTTTACAAATCTAATTAAAGGGACACGCATAATTTAGTCACATTATATTTTACTACACATTTGAAGATTTTATTGAAAAAAAACAAGGTCTCCCAACTGTTTATTGTTCGTTCAGCGTAAGTTTCCTTTGCTATGAACGTTCGTAAAGTAGGCCATGCCCGTCATGCTCAGATGGTATATGGGAAGGTGTAATTGGCTCATATTGATTTAAGATACCACTTAAACATTTTGTTGTATTTCGTTAATTAGTTTTGTAACTTACGATTGCTTAATGAGCGGAGTGTTTGCTGGATTTATTTCGTAAAGGAAGGAACTGAGATTTATTTTTTCATTAAAATTATCCGTATGCATATAGAACACTGTAAACATGAATATTATTAAAATACTTCATCATATCAATGTAGCTATAAAGATAGGAGTAGTGGAGTATGTAAGTAACTGACTGATCAGTTAAAGATTTTTCCGTAACAAGCTAGCACAAAAGAAATGATACGAATATGTCCTAAACCTACATTTCGTTTATGGCAAAATATAAAAAGCAAAATCTTAGCGAATAGGTCAGAAAAATTAGAAAACTTAAAATCGTTCATTGGGCTACCTCAAGAAATGATGGCTAAGAAGAGTTTAAGAAAAATAAACTTTTCGTCCTTCTTATGTCCCAATTTATTATTCAAAATTACTGTTAAGACATAAAATCAACAGTAATTTATATTCGACCAAAGATATTTCGAAATAAGATCCTTGCAGCAAAAAATAGTCAGTATGCTGTAGATTATAAACGCGAATGTTTTTCTAGGACAAACCATAGATCTGTTGTAGACCTCCATGTCTTTAAGGGTTCCTATCTAACTGATGCCTTCTGATTAGGCTCCACAGATTTGACAGCGGTTCCTTCGCGTAGCTTCCGTCAGTTTTTCTTTTCAAAGTAGTAGATAACTAGCTCATCAGTAACATCGTTTTGACTTCCTAGCCTTGCCAAAAGATCCAAGCAAATAAATACTAACCTGGATGTAATCTGATACGAGCAAATTGTACTTAGCCTCCGAGTAAATAACACCTTGTTAGTTTTTAATGTTTCTTTTTATTGCACAATATTCAGTAGGCATCATTTGTGCTTGAAATACTGTGGTCTATATATACCTAGATTACTGATAGTTTCCTTAATGGCAGTCTGCGTATGATTGCTTGAAAAGTTTTGCTTCTGAGCATTTTCAAATGACAGAAGAAGACATTTCAGAGAATGTTTAGAAAATGTAGGAATGGTAGAATGAATAATTAGTTGCCTGGCGTGTTTTCAATCAAAACTGGCTGAGCAAACCCACTTTACCTTACTAGTTTACAGGCTTCCGTGGAAATCCTCAATGCAATCATAGACATGTCACTCTCCTTCAGAACAAACTGTGAAACTAGAGACCAAGTCTTCGTAACAGCGTTTATATTTATTCTAAGTGTCCACTGATCCATAGTATTCCAGTGCAAGGTTTGAAGTCACTAACTTATGACGTTCCAGCCCTTTATAAAGATGAGACGTTGCCAAATTTCCGATAGTTCTAAGCCCTAACCTTATATGAAGTTAATTCGATTGTTATGATGTTATGAACTTTTATTTCTTGACTGTAGATCCTTATCGAAAAATATTTGATAGAATAGGACTTAGAACTACCTGGAATTTAGAAATGACGTAAGTTAAATCAAAGAGTAAAACATCAGAAGACCTAAAACCACAGCAACATAGCAAATATAAATAAATATAGACCAGAGGAATTGATATCGTGTTTTAGACTTTCTTCTGAAGTTTCTTTATCAGAATATTATGCAAACAAATATAATATAAGAGTACAACAAATTTTTTAAAAAATCTGATTCATCCCCGTATGCAAGAAATGGATATACATAATTCATCTACCATTTTTTAGTTTTAAGTTGTGTAAACATCTATTTAATATATAGAATTGCGACTAAACAAATGGTTATCAAATGCCGCCATGTTTATCACTGCAATAAACATCCTGTAAGCGGAATGATTTACAAAATATATTTCTCTATAAATATAGACGGTTCTACGACACAAATGAACAGGGGTATCCGAAACAATATTGATTACGTTTGGCCTACTTTCCACCATTTTCGGGGAACAGGGACCTATCGCACAAGGTCACAAAAATAGAAAGAGTTAGGGAAGGTTTGAGGAAATTTAGGGAATTTTCTGTTTCAGTAGGTACTATACCTAGTAGTACATTTAATAAGCATTATTATCAGCTTAGAATGCTGACTATGAAGACGACTGCATTCAGTGCATTCTGTTTTTCAAATATGTTGCTTTAATTTCCTACCATTTCTATAATAATAGCAGCAGTATTTTGTATATGAATCATATTTATAGATTTAGATATAGACTTTCACAAACTTAATTGTTACTATTCCTCCAAACCACTTAATTAGGTACAAGATGCAAGTGTAGTTACTCGTAAAATATGATCAAATAATATTAGCTTGCACAGATATTTTTCTTATATTTTAATAAAATTTTATATAGTACCTATGCAAACAAAGATGATGCACAAGAAAGCAAAGAACTTATTTTAAACCCAACTCAAACGGGAATAATGTATACTGTTCATCAAATTTAACTACAAATTATCCAAAATGGGACTGTCGTTAGTAGAGTACTGCAATATGAGGCCAATATTTAAAAATATATACCAAGCATTAGATTTAAGTATTGCTAAATCATGTACCATATTTTTATTTGTAAAAAAATGTTTTTACAATACGTAATAATAATATATGCATAATCCAGACGTCTTGCATATTAGGTACGGTATAATTAACTTTTCAAAGCAGATTATGTGAGCATACGAGAATAACCTTGCAGATAAAAAAAATTGTTGCTAGTAAATCACAATAAGCGTTTCAGTATCACAATAATTGCAACCCATACTATACGTATACATAGCCACTTTTTTTGTAAAGGTGTATTTTCAGAAACAATAATTATTAATTAAAAAAGGTAAAATTACTGTATTTTAAAATAAGTTCACTTAATTTCACAATAGTTGGGTAGCTACATTACTTCACGTTTATAACAAGTTATCATAAGAAGAAATAGAAGAAAAATTAAAAAAAAATAGTAGCACTCAAGTAAATGTTCCTTTTGAAACATATTTTGAGGGAAATTAAAAAACAAAGGACTTGAAGAATTTTTATAACTCACTCAAGTATAAGCAAATATTTTTTAGATATATTTATGAATGACTGTAGTCACATTTTCATTAGAATACATGTACTAAGTTTGACTAATTTAATGTATTATATTGTTTAATGCCAATCCAATTAGATAAAATAGTGACGATATCAGAAACGAGAACAATACGTTAATTTGCAGCAATCGTCAATTTCGTAATGTGAACAATTGAAATATGTTTATTATATTAATAGTAGTAACTACAGGCAGAATAAAGCAATAACTGAATAAAAATGAGCAATAGAAGAGCATAATATAAACAGGAAAAATAATTATTGTTCCTTTTCACTAGTTATCTTATTAGGAAACTCCCCTGTTTCACGATTAATAAACTAATGTAGGTAAACCAACAGAAATATAATTGATTTTGAGAAAGGCTGGTTACGATTCGGCTAGCCGCTTACCTGTCTCATTAATCAACTCCGCTCAACATGTCAATAACAAAGACAGTTTGGTAGACAAATACATCCCCGAGGCCAAGAAAACTCTCTCACGAAAACAAATACCTACTCTAAAGTCGTTGACTTCAAGTAATTGTATTTATTCTAGTCAATAACCGTGTCGTATCATTATTACATTACACAAACACACTGAAAAGTCCTGAAATAACTGATTCCTGAAAAGTAAGAAAACGAACTCACCCTAATATCTGACTAGATGACACTCGTTCAAGATAGGTACGAAACCAACACGGTCCTCACTGAAGCGCAACCACCACTTTTTCACATTTAACTGACCTGAACGTCGAACGGCAAAAGTGAGCTTGCTACGACCGAGCTTTTCGCAGCGCAGAATCGCAGGTAGCATCGACGGAAGGTTCAGCAGGGATGCCGTCGCCGTCGTTCGGCCAAGCTCATTTCATTTGCTGGTCCTTTTCAGCAGTACGCTCTCGGGGCGTCTTTGGGTCGATACAGGTTCGCAGAATGCTATTTTGATGAGGTGAGTAGGTGTCAGTATTTATACGCATCTGATACCAAACCAGTTTTGCAGATTCATTAAGTGATAAATAATATATTGATTAATAACAATTAACAGATCATTTATTGCAGCTATTGGAGAATGTACCTTACGTCTACTTGGCTTTGATATAATTGTTTATAATTTGATGAGGAAATATCTAAATAGAAGATTATAAAACTAATAGTAATAATTAATAGTTAGTTTTGTAAGGGACTCTGCTGTGCGAGGAATTAGCATGACAGTTAAAAAGTTATTGACAAATTGTAAGCTTCAGGTTTTTTGTAAGAGGAAATAAACGGTTGTAGAGGGTATAGAAAATTGTATAGATGGAAAAGGGTAGTCAGTTGGTTCATTGATGATGTTGAATATTTGCTTACTTTATTTTGATGGCGTAAATATATGTAAAGAAAATATATATACCTAAAATACATGTTCTACATAGTCTCCGATCAGGACAGGTCAGAACTGGAGCATTGTGATAATTATTTCTTTGTATATAAGTAACCCCTGTAAACTGTATTACTGCGTATACTTTCTGAGCATTTTCTATTGTGCTTGACGCCTTTCCGAGAAGCCAGAACATGCAGAACACCCACCAGGAGAACTCCATGCGTGTTATGACTCGGAGTAGACTGAGTAGTGTAATTGACACAAATCGCGACTAATCCATCGGCACAGCAAAATGTAAAACTGTACTAATAGACTGAGATGCACATTGAGAAAACTCAACTGTAACAATTCAATATTCAACTGTGGCACATTCACAATGTTTTCACGACACGATGAATGTGATTTATTTTTAGGGATTTGGCAAAAGGGTCTGTTTTGAGTTTGTAATCTAAACAAAACTAATGGGGGTCAAATAGCCACTTATTTATAAACTTGTTTATAAACACCAGAACCTTTACGCCGGGGTAAATTATGCATTGTCTCAAACTTAAAACTCACATTATTTAAAATAGAACCCTGATACGCGGATTAAAAAATAAATACTCCCGAATATTCTTAAAAACATTGGTAGAGGGCATCAAGGTTGATTTTTGTAATTGACCTTCTATTGATCTTGAAGGCCAAAATCAAGCTCTAATCCAAGGACATGATTGAGTACCTTGATAAAAACTTTAGGGGCAAACATCTTATTCCGCGGTTCCGTCAGAGGTGACGAATCATTTGAACTTGCTGTGACCATCGACAGCAAGGTCAAAGTTGAGATCACATCCCAGGGCCCAATTTAAAATTATGAAGTTGACCTTCAATTGACCTTTAAGGCGACGGTTAAGGTCAAATTCAAGATCAGCAACCGCTTTCCCCCAGTGAACTGATTTTCGATTAAAATGGGACACGTGGTATAATATGTAAACACAGTGTGTTATTGTTTTTGATTAATAAATGTTAATAACTCGACACTATGCTCGTATTATTTGTTGGATTATCTTAAGGTGCGTGCCCACTGGCGCGAACAGTTCGCGATCACCTAGCCTGTTCGCAAAATGATAACGATAACATTAATTTATGTCAACATAAACCAACAAAATAATTGACATAACATAAATATATTTATTACATATTTAACATATCTCTTTAGAGTAGTGACATACATTAACTTATTTTTGATGTCCCAAAAGAGAAAAAGTAAATTCAGGTGGGATTTGTTGACCGCGTGTTTATCAAATATTCTCTCCCCAAATATCTAGGTCATATTAATTTTCTTAAGAGGATCTCCGAGCAACTGACAAAATCAATATCTACGAGTATAAAGATACAAAACGAGTCTAGGTTAAGGTTATATTTCATTTCGGATTTGATGAACTTAATAGTTGACATCGATTTCCACACACCAAAGAGGAAATGACAAACAATAAAAAAATGGATGTAATTGCAGTGGCTTTGAATACTTTTTAACGCCAAAATTTAAATTTCCTTTATTTTAATGTAAATTTATGAAGCTCAGGATGAGGAATAATTCATTTTTAATCTTAGATGCTGCTATTTCTCCTATAAATTTTCTTTTAATTTTATATTGATGGCTGTCGTGAAAAATTTTGATTGACTATAATTTTGCTTCAACTTTCACCTTTTTTTTTGTTTTATTTTTTATTTTTAGAGGTAACTGTTGCACATACTGTATACCTATATAATTGTTTAAAAATTGAAAAAGGAAGTAATGATAATCTTTATTTGTAACCTTTATTTGTACATTTGCGATATATTTTGCCTAAAATAATAAGATATAATTAATAGTCTTATAAAATTAATTCATATTCCTCCAAATTTACCGACCCATGACAATTCAAGCGTTCTTGGCCTACATGAGTAACTACAAATGAAATATGTTAATATTTGTTAGGTACATCAAAATGTAAAAGTGAAATATAAATACGTGTAATTTTTTTAAATATATTTCATTTGGAAATATATATTTTACTGAACAACATGTTCTTGATACAAACTATTCTTGGTACAATAACGAAACATAACTAAAATCAAATCGGCAGTATCTAAATTCAATAAAATAATGCAGCATTTTTTAACTTGAATAAGTACCAACAATTAGTTATAATTAGTAGATATGTATTAACACAGAAGTCATAAAAATCACAGGAATATACTTGAATAATATTTACGTCAGTATTACATTTGCATTAATTACTGTTTATAATTACATTTTCTTGAAAATGTATTGGTAAAATAATATTACTGAAGTTCCAGGGACCGTTTCAAATAAAACATTAATCTGTTCTTTTTATACATGCATTGTCTATGTTTCGAGTGTTTCACTCAACTGTATTTTTTTATTATAACAGTTTTATCTACATAGATAGCAAACAATGGTTTTTCAAAATACCTTAGTACATACCTATTTTAAAATGCAATGAGGAAAATTATTGCTAAAAATTATCAGTATAAATTCAGCAAAGCAATTAATAATTGTTCACGTATAATTGTCCTAAAATTATTATTTGAAGTAAATTTTATACAAATTCATAGGTACCTTGAAAATATACTTTTAAGACAAAATGTACTTTCAAAATCATTTTCAAATTTACTTGGTTTCGATAATTGTTCCCCACTTTGGCTCGCCAAAAGTTCGTGATATTTATGGCTTGGCAGTGTCCTTATTTTGAATCTTATCATCAAAAATCTTATCGGTAAAGGATGAAATAATAGTTCACCGAATTTGTCACTATTTGTTTATTATCTCTTAATTACCCTATTTATTATTTTATTGCCATTTAGATTTTATTATACCTATGCCATATTTCTCCTTAACATAGACTTAGGTATGTTCCTGATACTATAAAGTCTACCCAATTTTAACCATTTTATTCATAATTACATGAAATTGCCATTTAACAGTAAATACCTACTGAAGGGAAAAATATAGCTTGGTAAGTTTGATGTAAAATTGTATGTATTGTAAAAAACATATTGGTGTAAATTACTATATTATAAGACCTAAACTTATACGAGTACATATTTACATAAAACGGTAAGATTTTTGTATGGTCTGTTTATTTACGAGCAACTGGCTTTCCGAGGAGGCCCGACATTTGTTCTTTTCCTTTCCTGAAAAGGAAGTGATGTTACCTAAGCCAATTATGTTTGGAAATATATGATTTTGAGTGCCAATAAAATAAATTTTAATTAGAAAATTTGGTTATAATAAAATTTAATAATGTTATATATCATAATGTTGCAAATATTTAAAGTGCGTCTAAAAAATATTATCTACCACTTATCAACAAATCTATGGCCATAGAAATATCATCCATCCTTCAAATATCATTAAATTGTGTTTATTTGTTTTTGATATAAACATTGCAGGCCTCACTCCAGAAAAAATATCGTCTATTGAAAATATATGAATAAGTTTCGAACCCATAGTCATTATGGGGAAACAACATTCTTGACCTATTTGAGGGTGAATACAGAAGGGAAGCAATAACAGCTGTTAGGCCATGTGATAATAACAGAACTATTTGAATGCGATGCTATAAAAACTCCTCTATGTTTGTTCTGGTTGTTTATAACAAAGAACATCTCCCTGAAAAGTTAAATGTTTAAATATATTTAATTGCATTTAATGAAAATGTATTGTTATAAATTCTTGTGAGATGGTAATTTTCTTAATTGTATTTACTTATTCTGCTTCGCTTCTTCTTCTTTGTATCCTATTTTTCTTCTTTATTGTCTGGGCGCCATCTCACTTGAGCATATAGTTGTAATTTAATTCAAATTTTGTTTATGTTTCTAGAGAAAGTCTTTGTTTGAGTAAAAAAAAAATAATTTAAGATTCAAGCAAATTTTTATCTAATATGAATAGTCTTACCTCAGGGTAAGGTTCTGAGAATATTATTATTTTGATTTTGAAATATTATACTGATTAATGAATTTAGATACTTAAAAATCTTGAGAAGGAAAAGACAAAAAAATTATATTTGAATTTTAACTAACCAGTTATTCTATTTCTCCTAAAAATAATTTCTAATTCATTTAATTACTCTGATTCAATATACAGGGTATTTGGAAAAGTTGGTACAAAATTTAAGGGAATGAAAGTAGAGCTAAAAATAGTAAAAAAAGTTTCTATAAACATTGGTCCTCCGGAGCACCGTTACTAAAATATGGCCCTCCAAAGGAATCTTATCATTTGGATATTTTTTAAAATAACTCTTTCTGATCAAGATACCGGAATGAAAATTGTAGGTAATAATTATACCATAAGGGTTTTTAACTACCATAAGTTTCATCAAAATCGGTTATATATAAGGATAGTTTTGTAACTACTCTTAACAGAAAATTTTCGAATTTTTTTTATTCCTTTGAATTATCAAGCAAATAATATTATTTTTTAATGAATTAGACTTTTTTGAACATATTCAGACTTACCTAACTTCTTCATGCCAAAGTAATGAAAAGCAATTACTTATTGTCTTAAAATATGAAGCAAATGTTGTCTTGTTAACACGACAGATGGACGATAATTTAAATGTTTTTAAACACTGAAATTATCTTCTAGGTTCTAGGTATTGGCAATTTAGAGAAAAACAAATTAAACTTATCTCGTTTATAGACAATTATGAATGAATCGCTTGAATGAAAGTCTAATACCATAGGTAAAGGCTGTTTCATGCTATTAGTGTTATAATTTGAAATCAATTTCATAACGTATGAGGTACTTGTTTATTTTTTCGTGTTACTTCGCCCTTGACTTCAAAATTTATTTTTTTACCACGCACAAAGAGTAGGATAAGTGATTGTTTACAGTAAGTCCATTGATGTGTTTAATTTGAATATTGATAAAAAAAACCTTAAAATGAAGCAGAATTAAGTTGATAGAAGTATGTTTTTATGAGCATAATTTAAAGTTGTTTTTATAGTGTTATTGATAGACTACCAAATTAATTGTTTTCATTTAGGTATATATTATTCTTGTACTTCGAAGGATTTGAAATTAAATAATTACCACTATTACCTTTCCTGTTCGCTGATTTGATTTTTCGAACCACATACAGAGTGTTCCAAAAACATATGTCACCGCTTGTAGGAAGATTCCTCAATTCCTCATCCAGGAATAAAATAAATTGTTCCTCTTGACATGGGTCCGTTTTGCCCCCATTCTGAGGTAGGTACAGGATACAGTGTGTTATTTTTTTATTTATTTGTCTTTTTTCTAAATATCTGCAGGTCACGACTTTAGTAACTTGAATGAATTTGGGTTGTGGAAAGTTTTTACAAAAATACATATTTTAAGATTAAATAATTTTCAGCATCACCAGTGGCGCACAAAGAGTAATATTAAAATAATTAAAAAAATTACATCATAGACTACTACTACCATCACAGCATTGTGTCATATCACAAAAGACCTGCCACAAAATAAGTATTTCATAATTTGAATGTGGAGTGCTCTAATTTGTCCTGTAACTATATGAAAAAATGACATCTATATACAAGTATTAGAATAATGAATTTCGCTGAAATTATACGCAGCATAAAATGTGAATAATTACTGAATCAAATAAAAACTTATCAGTCAAATAAATTGATCTGAAAACAGGCAGAATATGAACTAAAATGTATCATTTCTGTGTATACTCGTCGAGTAGGATTTAAATATAAATATATATGGGCTATTAAGCCTTTGGGCAGGCAACTAACAATACACAAAGAAAACTTTTCTTACTCCAGACTTGGCCATTATTATGATAGCCCTTTCTATACAGTCATAGGAAGCCCCAAATTTTGATTCAAACACACTACAAACGAATTTTTTTTATTCATATATTTATAGGAAGTAGCAGCAACATTGCAAAGAATTGGCACGACTGATTGCTTCAGCCAAAAAAAAGAATAACGATTTTTCCTATGATTCAAAAGGTTCTACGATTCGTCAGTGATTTGACACGAGTTTAAATGTACCCGACACATTCTAATTACGATGTCATCGAATGTTTGTCGTAACGTCACTGTTACATCCTCTGTAATTTACATAAAAAAAACAAAACATTACTTATGTAACCAGTCAAAACTAGCAAACAAAACAATCAACGCTATTTTGTTTGTGTTCGAGTGCCAGTAAAGTTATTTTTTGGTTTCCTGACGTTACTGTTTTGTTTGATCTTGATTAAACTGATAGATTTGACAGTATACTGTCAAATCATGGGAACTTTTGCAAATTAAAAATGGTGTTAAATTGTGTAGTAAAGGGCTGTAATGTCACAAACTAACAAAAAAGAACGTATTTTCCAAACATCCATATACAGGGTCGGAAAGTCCCCATGGTTCATCGGCCGTTACGTGACTTCCACAAATAAGAAGTGGATCTTATTTGTGGAAGGGCGAAATGGGCGGTGACTATTAGACGCATTCATTATAGCCATCTTTCTCTATCGCACGGATTTCTATGACTTTCTTTATCGCTCTCACGTAACGGCAGATAAACCATGGGGACTTTCCGACCCTATAGGTACAACCATATGAGTAAATTTAGTTACTCATATGAGTACAACATATTTACTAACCATTAACCTCAAACAAATTGTTGGCTCAGTCGAGCGACTTCATAAGTTCTGTATTGTACATTGTCCGTGGTATATCTTTATACCTATATTCACGATGGCAAATTTTGTTTCAGATACGTTTATTATGGAAAGTGACGTCCAGCGACTTGAGCTTCGCGATGTGATCAATACGCCCAGACTAGAGTGTAGTCTCCATGAATACGCCAATAAATATTCGCAAACAAAAGCGTGGGAAATATGTGGAGACTTCCGTAGAAGACGGGTCACTCGATTTGCCATCGAATAAACGCCATTCAATTGCGTACACACGCCACCGAATGGCATATTCACCACTGAAGGAGGAAAACGCTCTCCGCCTGATTTTGCTACTGCGCATTGTCAATTTATACGAACTTGGCCAATTTTTAGGTTAGGATCAACCTCGTCCCTTTTTTTTCTAGATTTATAGCAGATAATTAGACGCTGCCTGCACATAAGCAATAAAGCTGAGCACTTTAAAGCTCTAAGAGTAATTCACATTCTATAAAGGTCATTGCTTACTACGCGATAACACAGCCACACAAAAAAAAGTTGTCTGTACTTTTTATGCGACATATGTTGTCCGTAGTATTTTTGCCTCCTGATCATGAATCCGGCGTCAGAATTGAGCTATCACATCACAAGAATTTCCTAACCTCAAAAACCAGGTCAAAAATAGCAAAAATCCACGAAAAAGTGCTGGCAAAAATACAAATTATTTTTTCTATATTCAAATGTTCATTTATATGGTTAAGTCCCTGCCGAACGTGAATCCGCGGTCAGAATTGAGATTTCTTTTTCTAACCTCAAAAAACGGGTCAATTAAGGTCAGAAATCACAAATTTTCAAAAAATAACAGATTCGCGCCAAATTTGGTATACGGGGATTTTCGGGGTCGCTGATCACGGATCCGAGGTCAATTTTGCAAAACTCAAGATGGCGGATCCAAGGTGGCCGACTAAATTTTCAAAAAATAACCCATTCGCACCAAATTTGATATACGAGGGTTTTCGGGGTCGCTGATCACGGATCCGAGCTCAGATTTACAAAATTCGTTTTTAAAAATTTAATCAACCGATCGTGAAATAAAAAGTGATAAAACAAATTGTTTTACATATTTTACAAAAATCTTGGTTCAAAGATTTTTAGCTGGTATGTACCTCTATTTTATGTGCGAGAAATCAAACTCAAATCAATATACAAAAAAATTTATTTCATATAATTTAAATAACAAATATTTACATAAAAAATTATATTTTTGCTTCATATTTTTCGGTTATAATAAAATTAAAGGACATATCTAAATAAACTCCCTCTTCAGTTGCAAAAAACAAACCCCGTTACCTTGCTGCTGGCCGCCGAAAAGGACGGCAAGTAAACTCGAATTGCTACTCGCTTCGTATATTTCCTTAATCCACTTATCTACAGTTTTAAATACCTTACAATTATAATTCCCTTCGAAGTGATCGTCCGGTATCTTGACGTGCGCGATATTTAACGAATATTGTTTCAAGGATTCACAGTATCTCTTTATAGTGTCCTTATTGGTCTTTGCTGAACTACATGTGATATTTTTTATGTCAGCTTCTTCTCCTTTGTCGAGGTAAAATTTGTACTTCTGCGCGATATCGCCTGTACCAACAACGCACGCCTTCTTATCGACTTTGGTACACTGCCTCAGCATGCTGGTAGCGTAATGGGACGTACCCATGTCTGGGTAAGCCCGGATTTCGTTGTGGATTCCGCCCATCACAGCATCCCCAAAGTAAACGTGTTTCTGAAGTCTTAACTGAACGAGTTTCATGCACGCTAAACTGTCTTCGGTCGAGCAGTGGCCTTGGTGACCGGTCTGGATTTTTTCCGACAGAAATTCTCTCGCCAATGTCTGAAGTTTCGTCTTCCTTGATCTGTCTCCAGTGATGTTATAAATTACACTGAAACAGATTAAAAATATAGCAATATACATTTTAATCCTCTGACAAAGAAATTTCTTTTTTTCCGAAGTCAGTTGAACATGTATAATACGCCTAGCAATGAAATTTAATGAGTCTCAAAGGAATTCCAAAAAAAGTTTTCGGAAATATGTAGAAAATTTCTATATGTTCATTTGGCCAACAACATGTTTTAATTATTTATGTCCTCAAACAATTTTATTATATCGATGGTAAATTTTGATTATGATATATCAAAAAACATTTACAATTTCATTAAAATATATTGCTGCACTGCACTGCTACGCAATTAGTCAACAATTGAAATTTATGGCCAGTCGCCCAGTGCGGCTGTGTTTGTCCGCCGTTTCACTAATTTTAAACTTTTAGATAAAGTTATCATTTCAATCATATATGATTAACCAAAAATAATTTCGTTAATTACGAAAAATAAAAAATTAAAAACAAATACTAACAAAGAATGTAGAAACCATATACTTGAAAAATATCGATGACCACTTCATAGAAAAAGAAAAACAAATGCCTGTTTGAATTAAAGTTTTTCAATAAAAACATGAATTTACAAAAACAAAAAAAAATAGAGAACACTACATGAAAAATGAAATTAATTTTTTGAAGCAAGAAAATCATCTTTAAAGCAATTTTTTTTTAATTTGAATTAAAGTTTTTCATTAGAAACATGAATTTATAAACTCTTTAAAAAAATTAGAGAACACTACATGGAAAATGGAATTAATTTTTAGATGCAAAAAAAAATTCGCTAAAGCAATTTTTTTAATTTAAATTAAAGTTTTTCATTAGAAACATATGAATTTATAAACTAAAAAAGCAAAGAACACAATACGGAAAATGGAATTAACTCTTAGATGCAAGAAAATTATCGTTAAAGCCATTTTTTTATTTGAATTAAAGTTTTTCATTAGAAACACATGAATTTATAAACTCTAAAAAAAAATTAGAGAACACTACATGGAAAATGGAATTAATTGTTAGATGCAAGAAAATTATCGCTAAAGTATTTTTTTTTAAATTTGAATTAAAGTTTTTCATTAGAAACACATGAATTTATAAACTCTTAAAAAAAAATTAGAGAACACTACGTGGAAAAATGGAATTAATTGTTAGATGCAAGAAAATTATCGCTAAAGCAATTTTTTTATTTGAATTAAAGTGTTTCATTAGAAACACATGAATTTATAAACTCTTAAAAAAAATTAGAGAACACTACATGGAAAATGGAATTAATTGTTAGATGCAAGAAAATTATCGCTAAAGTATTTTTTTTAATTTGAATTAGTTTATCATTAGAAACATGAATTTATAAACTCTTAAAAAAAATTAGAGAACACTACATGGAAAATGGAATTAATTTTTAGATGCAAGAAAATTATCGCTAAAGCAATTTTTTAATTTAAATTAAAGGTTTTCATTAGAAACATATGAATTTATAAACTAAAAAAAGCAAAGAACACAATACGGAAAATGGAATTAACTTTTAGATGCAAGAAAATTATCGCTAAAGCAATTTTTTTTATTTGAATTAAAGTTTTTCATTAGAAACACATGAAATTATAAACTCTCAAAAAAAATAGAAAACACTACAAAGAAAATGGAATTAATTGCTAGATTTTTTTAAAGCTATTATAATTATTACGAATAAAAAAATAAATAGATAAACAAAAAATTTAAATTATATCAAAAATGAAAAAGCTTTACCTGGTGTCAATAACATAAGGATGCATCATTTTCATCACATGCAAGTCATTTGCCAATGACTGACCAACCAAGATGGCATCCTCGGGCAGTAACCTCCTCAAATCCTCCTGTACCTCCTTCAGCTTCTTAGTAACGTTCTTCATCATTTTGTGATTTATACCCGACCACTTTGTCAGATAATCCACGATTTTATTATCCGGCTTCACCAGCGTGTCATAGAAAACCTTATGGCTTTCATCTACTGCCGATATCCTAGTTAGTTCCAGGTCACCTACAAGATTATACACAAATTTAATACAGGGTTACTACAACACGGAAGTCTACACACCCGTCGACGTTCTACACATTTCGCAATCAATAGCAAACAATGGGCTGAACGGTGTTACATCCTTGTATTTATCCTTGGTAAGGACATATCCAGAATATTTTCTTTCCATGAGTCCTTTAATGGGTAGAGGAAAGTTTTCTTCGACCATCTGCCAGCCAGATAACAACAGCTGTGTTCTGGAGTACTTATCACATGAAGGTAATTTAGAATTTTTTGGTAACGCAGGAGTTTCCTCCTCTTTTTCTTCGATTGGAAAGAAATTCTTTACTGTATCAAAGAGTTCCTGACTTTTTTGAACGGCCGACTCTAAATTCCCAAATTCACTTTGGAATTTCCTCATTTGTGTTGCTAGAAAGTCCATCGCTTTATGAAAACATTTAATATTGGATTTCCAGAAATTTTAATATAAAATAATAACGAAAGGGATGTTGCCACTTTTATTACTAGCCGACATCCTAATCTAATGGAGAATATTTATCCAAATATTTTTGTATTATAAAGCAGAGATAAGAAAAATAATCTTTCAGTGCTCCTTCTCTTGTCAAGTTTTTTTTTTTTAAGATTCTCGGAACTGAAATAAAACTTCTCGAGGAGAGTTCTAGTAAAAAATAATAATGAAAATTGTTTACACAGGAAGAGAATACTGAAGAAACTTTTGGGCAGTAATAAATAAATAGTAAGTATTAAAAAAATACCAATTTAAAGTTACTTCCAAATTAGATTTATTTTTCAAAAGATAATATGTTCTTTTCTTATATAAGAACATTTATTTGTAGTTTTTCTTTTTTCAGATAAGAGTAATATTTATTGTATTTGTATGTCCTTAAATTTTAATCAAAAACAGACACTTTCCGCTATAGTTTTAACTTTCATGTACATATTTAGTACCTAATTTCACTTAACTATATCACATAAAAAATTTTGCATATTGCCAATATTCTAGGAAATGTACGTTAGTTAATATCAGTTAAAAAAAAACAAAGTACGCCTAAAGTTTAACATCAGTAAATTTGCATCTAATTTAGTTTGAAATTTTCACACTTCGATTTGATTGAGACATAAACCAGAATTTATTTCAATAATTTGAATCACGGCAAGAAAATCTGAAGATGGAAAATAGATAATCATCAAATAGTTTCAAAAAAAGAAGCTTACCTGTAAGCGGAACCATTGACAAATCCTTAACAATATCACTTTTGTAAGAACTAGGGGTAATAATTTCCAACTTGTGCTGAAATGTTGAGCTCAAAAACGGAAAGAGATTTTCATTGGAAGAAAAATGATATAGAGACATATTTTCAACTATTAGTAGGTTTACATTATTTAGGTTATTATATTTCTCCAATGCGCACCACCTCGCAGGGGAATAAGGAGAATGAACGCCTATTTGTGAATACATTAGCAAGTGCTGTATATCAGAGAGAAACATGGGAATTCTATCGTTTAGATCTATAGTCAAGCTGGCATTTTCGCCTAATTCACGTAGTCTGAACTGGGGCAGACTACGAATTTTTTTTGTTCTCTCACGTAACATCTTTTTTAGTTCTGCTAATTCTTCACCATGAATTTTAGGTTTTCCAGAAGGGCCACGTTCTCCTATTAATGGAGGCTGATCTTTACCATTCTCTCTAAAGAATTCAAAATTATTTCCACTGAACTATATAAATTGCAAAATTTGAACTTACTCTGTATCATTTCCAGTTTTTAATCTTTTTGGGCTTGGTTCTGTTTCTGGTTTAACGGCTATATCCTCATCTACCTTAACAGCATGTTTATTCCTTTGAGCTCGATCGTATTCATTTAATTTTGCTATATCCAATAAAGCTGCCATTTTTTTCTTCTTATTTTCAATTCGTAATTTCCTCTTTGAAGTGGTTCCTGTCATATTTTTTCCATACAATAACCAATAACTGAAAGAAAATATGAATTTTAAGTGTCAAAATATAATTTTCTTAACAAATTATCACCAGAAAGTAATTAATTTATTATGAACCGTTAAAAAAGTAATAGACACATTAATTAGAATTTTTAAATAGTCTCGTATCATGCCCTGTTTTGGAAAATTTGAACTGTTTGAAAAATTGAGGTTACAAAAGACAAGACAAATGAAATAATTATATAAAAATCAACTCACCTTGTACATTGAGAACATTTAAGTTACTAGTTACAGCTATTAAAATTTCATATTTAATATAAAATTAGTTTTATTAATAATTCAGAAAAATATAACTACAATCATTCTTTTGTCCACGCAACGAAAAATCAAATAAAATATAAAATAAGGGAAAATTAAAAGCAAAGGACATTCAACAACCATAAAAATGGTGCGTTCGACAAGAGTTAAACAGTTAACAGTTCCACTGATAATAGGAGTTGAATTGAACGATTTACAATTCACGATAAGTTTATCAAGAATTATTATTCCAAATATTATATTTATCTGAAATTTACTGCAACTACCAAACTACAATTTTTGATATAATAGTAAGAGCTGCCTTATATTTACAATAAAAGTTATGAGTCAGGCTTTAGATTGTCCACAGACAAAGGACAAATTAACAACATTTTCTAAAATTCCATGTTCTTTGGATTGTGACTTTTGTAAAACTGCTTCTCTCCACTGAAGTCAATTGAGTTCAGTGCTTCTCTCAGTCAACAACCATTTTTGTGGTTATGTAGTAGTAAATTTGTTAAAAAACAAACATTCTTGTATATGATTATATGTGAGAATTGAAATTGAAAGTATGAGCAATCCGAGTAACAGTTTTAGTCTTAAAGTCACAAATGCAGACTTTGCCGAAAGACAAAAAAATGTTTTCGATCAGTTGAAAGTACTTGAAAATAGCAGAAAAAATACAGGAAATCATAATTCGGTGGAAACGGAAGAACAAGTAGACCCTAATAGACGGAACCAGCGTTCAATTACAAAACATTTTAGAGGCAAAGAAAGTATATTCAAAAAACCACAAAATGTTGCTCCAAAAAATTACATCAACAGAATACCAGATTTCAAAAAGAATCCACATAAATGGACGAGATATTCTCTAGACGATGTTAGAGAGGAGGATATATCAGATAAAGGAAATACTAAAGCAGCTTTATCATTCTTAAAAGAGTTAGAGGAAAGGAAAAGTCAAGAGATGGATTGTGATCAGGAACAAGTAGATCAACCTGTCAAGAAAATTATTTTCAAAAAACATACATCTACTGTCATTGGTCCAAAAGATGATGAAAATCCAGATACTTGTAAACCTAGTTTTAGAAGTTCCAAAGTTGTCATGCCTGAATATGTTGTAGGGCAAAAAATGAAAAAGGAAAAGAAAAATAAAAGTTTGAAAGCAGGCAAGGGAAAAGAATTAAAATTAGATCATTTGTTCGAAAGTGAAGAAAATGAATAAGTATATGTATGTTACATTGGTAATTTATGATATATCTGGATCTTACAATTGTAAATAATTAATATTAAATAATAGTAAGCTGGTTGCTTTATAATAATACTTGTACTTTAAGTAAAATTATAAAAATAAACATATCTAAATGTTCCAGTTTTCTTATAATTTTTATTAATAAAATAATTAATTTAAAAAAAAACGAGTAAATCTGGATAAAAATTGTGAAGTTCTTTAAATGCTAGTATTAAATATGTATGTTTTAAAAAATACTAAAAATTGAAAATCTAAAAGTTATGCAACTAACATTACGGCGATCAGAATTATGTCCTGCATAACAAAGACATTATAAAAATATAAAATGTTCTAAGCGTTCCGTTTAATAAAAATAGAAATGGTAGATAGATCTTTATTTGTTGCGAAGCTACAAGCCTATGAAATTATGATACATATCTGAACAGATTCATAATTTACATAAATCAAATAAAAGTTTACATATTTAATTATCAATATTTTCCAAATCCTTGAAGAATACAAAAACTGAAACTTTAATAGTGGCTAGTAATGTATCTAAATATACAGTGTATTCCCAGATGAGGTAGCGCACTCTTGTAAATTTTTTTATTGTTGATTTTTCAAGAAAAAGTTATTCTTGATAAAAAATTTTACTTATCTTGGGAATAAAACATACAGGACGTCCAAAAAATTTCTAAATGTGAAATTTTTCCAAAGGAAAGTGTCTTTAATTTTTGTTTTCGTTAAAAACTGTACTAATAAAGTTGTTCGAGAACTCAAGAAATGTTTAAATACTGCGTTTAGTCAAAAAAGAAGTTCATTTTGCATCTAAGACGCGATTTTTAACTATCGTACTTAAAAGCAAACAGAAATTGTAACAAATAAATAACTAACTTTTATTTTAAATTTAATATACTTAATATAAAAATAGCTTTGCAGAACAATTTCTGGGTTGGTTGGGCCACATCGTATGTTTAGGTTTCTTTACGTTTCGAGGGACGTATAGCTCTCTGCCTCAGAAGCAACTCTGAAAGTATTCGAGTTTTTAAAAAGAGTGATATATTTACAAACTCAAACGACTCTGTTCTTACTGTTGTACCACGTGATAACTCTGTCCACTACTTCACTATACTTGCCTTTTGTTAACTATTACCGAAACCCCTCCCCCTGAATGGCACCCCCTTGTGCACGCATAAATCCTCAAGAATTTATCCAAACTCCAAACTAAAGTACCTATGACTAGAATTCGTGAGGTGCAATTGCATTTTTCCCAAAATCTTATCCGCACGTCTCAATTCGTCACCAGGCACTTCAGTGAGGATACCGCAACACCGATCCTCATCTCAAATCGCACACGGAGGAGGGCAAAATGTTATTAACAACAATCTTATCGCCAAGACGAGTCGCTCTTTATCCAGTTTAGTACTCGCCGGTCGCGGTTCAAAATCATTTTTTCAAACAGCGGCGGCCGCGGTAGCAACTATATCGGAGAAAACTCCGTTTGCTCCCATTGTAATATCGCTACCGATAAAATTATTGGATCGAGTCATTATCTAGAACTAACAGTACGACATCAAGTGACAGCGATTACTTTAAATTACCGTATCACATGTCCATACACAATTTTCTAAAATGAACTCATCCGCAGTACATTCGAATCTCGTCGGGCACTGAAAAATAAAAAAATTGCGAAAACTCTAGTTTTGCTGGATATTCGACGTTGAGACTTAAGTGCGGTGGCCGTTGAGGCAGACGTTGTGGTGGTTATTTCTTAAGTGGTTAAATTGGAGGAGCAGAAGAACGCATCAATTGTTTCCTGACGTCACTTTATTTCCGGCGTTGAGAGGGTAAGCCATCTTAAGTTTTAAATTGATATTATTATTTATAATAGATACAAATTTGTCTGCTGCAATTGCTACTCCCGTTGTTTGAATTGTCACGTTCTCCGTTATTACGGCTTAATTACTCTGATAAGCAGTCTAATTAGGCATCTTTACGTATCATCATAAGCGAAAACGTTTATAATAATTATTATTTTATATAATCAGTTTTAATCAGCTGTTTCTATAAGTCTATTTTGGCATATTCTACGCGTTTTAGTGGATTAATCCTCACATAAACAATACAAAATGAATAAAACAAGTCAATAACACATTTTTGAAATTTAATTTTTTTATGTATTCCCTTTGAGAACTTTCCTAATTAACCATTGACCTTTCAAGCAGAATTATATTATGAATTATGAAATCTATGAGATTTATCTAATAAAATTGATAAAAGCGGGCAAAATTCCATTAATTTTGGACGATACTGAGGCTTACAATTTTGAAATTCAGCTTGTCAAATAATGAATAAAAAATATTGTGTATTAACTAAAGCAACAAATAATTCAAATATTTCTAATTCTTTAACTATTATTGTTCGTCGATAAAACTGCTAATTATGATAAATGGTAAGTGGGTATACATATACCTCTATTATTAGAAGAAGGAATTGCGACATATGAATTGATTTTTCACGAAACAGCATAATTATTTATGACAACTTTAAACGCGAATAATTGAATGGTACAATCATCAACTATTTTGAATACCTACGTTTAACAATGACTACTGAAGGTACATGAAGTAAATCTATATAATTGTAAATATAGTAATTGCTATACTTTTATAATATAAGTGGCAATTTTCTGAAATGTAAATACTATATTAGAAAATTATTAGGTACTGTCTATTTTTTCTCAAAGTTGATTTCTGTAGGAACTTTATTGTTTGAATTATGTCAGTGTTTTATATAGACTCATATATTTTATACTTAAGTTTATAACAGAATATATAAATGATAATTCTAAACGGTAATTTAAGTTATTGTTGCTTTAGATAAAATATTTAGGCTTAGTAATTGTGTTTCCGGACAAATATGTGAAATAGTGTATTATGATCAATTTTATTGTGTTAATATAATTAGTTATTGCTCTATAAATTTCCAGAAAAACAAGCAGTTTCTAGACGTGGTTCACACTAATCAAAGTGCACACAAGGTCGTAGATTTACTCTTTAGCACATGCACAGCAATATGAGGGTTTTTTCAAAATACGCTGTTGTTTTCTTTACTAGTATCATTTCGACATAAAATAAATATTTGCTATCAGAATATGATTATGTCCAAATATTAATGTGAAGGTTTTCTTTTCAAAATTCATTTGAAATATATCCTGATATCAATATAAACCCAGTATGTATATGCAAATTATACGTCTTTGTGAGTGGTAAAGAATTTTATACGTTATACGATAAATTATTATCTACCTACCTATATATGATACCAATATACTTACCTATAAGTAGGAATAAAATATTAGCAAAATTTACAACTGTTACTTAAACAATTTTATTAATTCACAGCAGTTTAATAAATTAATCAAATTGAGTTATTACTTTTTCGATATCCATTTCTATATCTTTATAAACATTATTATTTAAAACTACCAATAAGCCTATGTTTACATTAGCGTATTTTAAAAATAGTTTTATGAAATTTACGACTAATAACTAATGATAACAGTTCATTAAGAGGATAAAATACTTAAATGTAGATCTTGAAATAATATAATCTCCACTTAAACTTCCTCTTATATTCGTAATGAAATAATTTACTCTCCATTGACTCTTCCTCTTTCCGCTCTACAGTGTTTTAGTCACACTACAATTTGAATTTTTAGCGTGCGATTATAAATTATTATACAAGGTCTTTCCCTAAATTGCGCGAAATATGTGCGAGCTTTAGAAAACATAATTTTTCGCAATAAATGTTTTAAAACGGTTTGTTTCCTGACTATTGTCGTAAAGTTTATTTATGAAAACAAGTTGACATTAATAATGACACATCTCTGAGTCTATAAAATTTGTCAATCGCCTTCCAATTTTCATTTACTAACACTTATTGTATTTGACAACGATTTTTTTTGAGGTTTTGGAATCTTTTTGTATAAAATATTTATGTTTCATGTACATAAAACTTTACCCAGCACGCCACTGTCTGTAAATATAGTTATGTATGCAGCATAAAACTAAATTAATTAATTTGTTGTCGCGAGCTAAGTCATTATATCATTAATACTGGTGTTAACAGTACTAGTATTAGCTAATGTTTTTTGTATAGGTTTCACTTCACACAGCCCGAGCCAGTTTTATTGTTGTCCAATTTACAGCACGTGTTAGAGCGTTGCATTTAGTTTTTATTAAATAATATAACATTGCACTATTGGCAGCGTCTCATTTGGGAATTTTCTGGACACGTACGAAAATTTTCCTACTTCAAGAATTTGTTTCAACATTTGAAATAAATGCCATGCTAGAAACGTAAATAGTACTTTCAAATAAAAAGTGTGATAGTAAAGGAGATAATATAGCAAAAGTCACTCATTTTAACCTGTTATGATTCAAATAAAAGGGGATCGGAAGCCCAGAAAGTAATATTTGTTCCTTGTGACTGAAATAGAGAAATACAAATTTAGATAAAATAATAAAGGTCCTCACAAAAATTAATAACAATCTATACACTGTACACTGTACAATTATAGAAAATATAATACAAAATCTTGGAAACGAGCATTTGCATTAGAATATGGATGTAACAATTTAGTAAAAAATGTCACTAATGAAGACAATTCAACCAATATAAAAGCAGTAGAAGGGAAATAAGGCTTCTCTCTTGTTTCATCACTTACTCAGATTGAAGCTGTCCAAGAAAACCGCCTCTTTCATTAGGTTAGGTTAATTGTACGAAAATTTAATTAAATTTGCATGACTTTAATACAACTGACTTTAATTTCCAAAATAATTACTTCTATTGTTTAAAACCGATTGAAAAATAAGGTTTCTTTGTAAACTATGCATCAACAAAATAGTAAATATTTACAGATGTACTTATCACATACGTAGAAGCGTTACTTAACTAATTAGATGGTTCTATATAATGGACAGATTTCTTATTCATTCTGTCATTTTCAATTATAATGTAAAACATAAGGTTAACAATTGGAATATACAGACGTACAATACCAATAATTAAAGCATACCTAGATCGAAACCGCCTCTGGTTGGTTTAAAATTTTGCAATCACGTGAATATCTGGCCTAAAATATAACAAGCGTCACGGAATTGCAAATAATCGATACTGATTTATATATTTACGGAATTAAAAATAACCTCGACATTATATTGACAGAACTTATCAAATTTTAAAAAGTATAAACAAATTGTACGCACTGCATACGTATCAAGAAGTGTTTTTCCTAATGTTTCTCTTAAGGGAGATATCGAGCTGGATATCTAGAGGTTTCTGTTTTAGGCTCTAGCTTTGGAATCACTTTTATACTTGAAAAATTTGAGTATAGTGTGTTGATTTGGTGTCAAAACCAATCTTTTGTATCCAGAAGATATCCAGAAACGGATCTTCTTTCGAATTCAAAAACAATATTTACTTGTATTTATAGCATGACTATAAATAATAACAGTTTAATGCATTAGAAAACTATATTTATTTACTATTTGTATAAGAAACTTGCTATGGTAACTAATGGAAACTAGTAAATCTTTTTTCCTTTCTTTTGTGTACTTGTCTATTATTAAACATCTTGTTCTTTATTATTAGAGCTATGTTAATTTAGCTTACTTCATACCTCTTGTTAAATTTCTTGGAATATGATTCAGCTTTTGAAATAAAATTCATAAAAACTTAAGAAGCAGTAATTTGTTAAATTATTGTGTGAAATATACATACTTCCCTTCTTTCTTCTTAATAGTAGCTTTACTTTATTAAAATCTATTTTTAAGCACCATCATCATATTCTACATATATGAACTTGTTAAATTATTGTGTATTGGCATCATCTACCTTTGTAATTATGTAATCAAATAGCGTTGCATTAGTCCCATTTTTCTGTCACACCTTAATTGGCATGTTTACTAAGATTTATTTTTTCCACATGGTAGACCCACATTTACCACAATTACCTCATTGGAAATTGAATAGTTAATACTGACTCATTTTACTGAATGATTTTCACACACAAATGAACCTCAATCTTCCCTCGGATTTGCTCGGATATATGAATAAAATTCTATAACTTCATTTAGTTTCCTTAGTGTCATTAATGAATTGTAAGTATGTAGAAAATTTCTAGTAAAATATTAAATACGTTTGAAGAAAATTGTATTCTTAAAATTATCCTCTAGTTATACTATTATACTATTAATAATTATTAATTACATTAAAATAAAATAATCAATAATTGCAAATAATTGCATATGATGCCTTGTTGTTACTTTGTTTTATTTTCTAAATTAAAAGTAACTAGTACATAAAACTATGCAAATAACATCAAGTATGTCATCAATATTTGACTTCATATAATACGTTATATATAAAAATTGGTGTACATATCACATTCCACTTAATAAGTAATTAGTGGGCAACTGGATACGATAGTCAAATTTTTATCAAAACAGTAGTTTATCACAAAATATATATTGCTATTACATCAATGCATTATCGATTAAAAGATATTTGTAAAACCAAAACAGTACACATTCAGGGAGTCAATTTTCTCGAAAGCATCTTCATTTTGATACAGTTGGAATATATTTACAGCACTAAGAAAGTAAAAGTATATGTTTAATACTCCGTACCAATTTAATTATGTTATTTTAATTTTGAGTCGAAATCATAAGAACTCGGAGCATTTCGTTACTACTAAAAACTGCTTCATCATTTTTTACCCCACATTTAAAACATTATAAAATTTTCACATCTTGTTAGCAGTACTTTCTTTGTATGATCCCTATAAATATCATTCCCAGTAACAACACATTTGATGTGTTTATATTTTTATCGAAAGTAAACATGATTATGTTATAAAATAATTTTAAAATTTATGTAGCCTTCACATTATTATCATCAGCTACAATATTTATTTACACGTATATCCATAGCATTCTAGTATCTTAAACTTAAAATTAAATAAAAAGGACTGTACAGAAATAATTGACTTACTGTAAAATGTAACTCGTATCTTCCAAGAAAAATATAGCTTAAACCAAACGAATCTATATTTTTTTGTAATAATTTCTGCATTATTCTATTACGACTGATAAAAATTCTTAGAATAGAATTCAGTTAAAAAATGCTCTGAGCATAACCTAAAGCTTAATGGATTGTTGTTTGTTATTTACTTATCACCATATATTTAATTCAATTTGCATTTTTAATTTAAATTTGCTTCGTACATTTACGCTCTTGAAATGACTTTCTAAACTGTAGCGAATATAAGCTACTAAAACGCAATAAGTAAAAACAATAATTGGGTCTCGAGTATTATTGAAATTAGACACTATTTGCATTTAATGAATTAATTTAATATCAAATGAATATATGAACCTACTTACATACGGTAAAACATAACATAGTGTAAAATCAAGGTTATTCATGGGTGAATTTTTTCCAATATGAACACAGGGAAATGTAGAAGATTTTAAGAAATTTATTTATTAAATACATAATCACCATTCTTTGCACTAAACGATATAATAACACATGAGATCGATTCTAGGTTGACAAAAGTATTATAGTTAATTCTGAGTTATTTTTATATCAAGTATCTCGTCTCTCTTATATTATATGCGCTATATCTATTTAAAAAAAAAATTATAAAAAGGATAACTAACACTTAGTTTCTAGAACAATCTAAAAATTACAGCAGACAATTATTTCACGTTAACATTATACACAAACGAATTAATTTCTGTAACGTACCCTTTCCTTTTCAGCAAACCATGTTGCTTCTTCTTACCTACGTCTGTCCTTTCCTGGTAATAATTCTGGCTCGGCCGGACCGGCACGCTCTACATCCATGTCCTGGCCCCCCCGATAGGGGGCCTTGTAATAGGAACAGTTACAAATGGGCCTTCGACCACGACCGACAAGAGTGCATCGGTTTCCTATGGGGCGGATGCGCGGGGAACGACAAGAACAGGTTCGACAGCGAGCAACAATGCATGGAAAGGTGTTTGTCGATATTAAGTAAGTATCTATTGGAAACAGAAAAGTCCAACCTACACAACGACATCAAAATCGCTCCGATCGGATCACCCCTGCGCTCAGCGGTCGCGATGGGAGATTTGTTACACTTTAAAAGTTTATTCCCTCCTATACCAAATATAAATTCTTCATATTTATTATTTTCACTTCTTTAGGTTCTACGCCATTTTCCACCAACTCTAGCACCGTGGTACCCAAAGAAGAAAGAGGACCTCAACTTACTTTTCAAGAAACTGGAAACCAAAACATTTTCATGTTCGCCCAGTCCAATACTTTTATTCAAATAGACGGTGATATAATCCAGACATTTCAATTAAGGTACGTACCTATTTCTTTGTGTTTACCCATAATTGTTTTTAGTATCCATAAACTCGAATATTTTATGGACACATTTTTTTAACGAACCAGAGAATAATTGTATTTATTGAAGTTACTTTTCAATAAAAAATATTCCACAGATTGTGATGTCATTTCATAAGTTGCTACCATCAAAGATTACATAAGAAAGAATTCATATTCACTTGTTATAGTCTCATATTATACTTTTCTTTCAGGTTATGTCGTCAAATCTCATTCCAATTTCGAACTAGACTGCCCCACGGTCTTCTAGTCTACCATAACGTGCAGGTACCTACTGGGGTGTCCTTACAACCATACGCCCTGTACATCATAGTTCAACAGGGTCAGCTAAAAGTCGTGCATGTCTATGGAAAACATTCCACCGCACTTACTGTAGGAAGAGGCTTAAATAAAGATGAATGGCACTCAGTTACGGTAAGTATGGAGGTAGTATGTAATGGTACATCTACTACTACTTAATAAATCAATTTCAAGGTAAGGATCGACGTACACAGTGCTAGACTTATGGCTACAGTAGATGACATGAAAGAAGAAACAGATCTGATGGGGCTCGACAAGGAAAATAATTACGGCGTCTCGGCAAATGTTACCTCAGTGATTCTCATTGGAGGTAAGCCCTAGTGAAAAGAACATGAAGCTATTGCATTTTGAGCTTGTTTTTGTTTCCAGGCTTAAGCTCCGAGGAAAGATTACACGGGGTGAAGTATATAATCGAATCCTTCGTTGGTTGCATAAAGGATGTTATATTGAGCACAGGAAAATCTGCATCTGATTTGTTGCCTATCACCCCTTTAATAGCCACCAAACACGAGAATGTGCAAGAGGGTTGCATCGACAAGTGTAGGACTATGGAAAATCTTTGTTTTAAAGGGTCTAGGTGCATAAATCACTACAACGCCTTCACATGTGACTGTTTCGGTACCAATTACGAAGGAGAGTATTGCGATATTTACAGTAAGTCAAAAATAGTATGAAAGTATCCATATAACAAAGCTTCTTTCTTTCTAGCTGCGACTATCTTAACATTAAGAGGATCATCTTACGTGTCCTACAGAGTATACGACTGGAAAGACAGAGTCCACTCATCAGTCACGAGATTTTCTATGTTGTTCAAAACGAGATTCGACAATTCAGCTTTGCTGTACGCAGCTGGTGGTGATCTTGGCATAGACCACTATATCGCTGCTTCCATATACAACAATTCTGTCTTCATAGAAGTAGACTTTGGGGAAGATCCAATAGTAACGATTCTTGGACGAACATCAGACTTTAAGTTATATCAATGGAACAATTTAACAATCTTCCATGAATACGACAAACTGCATTTAATATTAAACGAGGAAAAGGTCACATTAAACATAACAGGCGATCCATTGTTGTACATCGATCCAGAAATCTACATTGGAGGAGGACCTGAGTTGCAGAAAAAGACCGGTCTAAAGTCAACAAACAACTTCGTGGGTTCCCTCAAATACGTCTTCTATAACGACATATCGATAATCTACGAGTTAAATAAGAACAACCCCAAAGTACATTACATCGGAATACTCAGGCCCGAGTTCTACGAGGTAGACGTGAAGGAAATCCCCATTACGTTTCCCTTCTCTTCGTCGCACATCTGGTGGCACAACAACCACACCGACAGCTTATCCTTGTCGTTCAACTTCAAGGCAAGCAGCAATCTCAGCGTGATTGCTTCCAGTGAGGCCCAAACTGGTATCTACTGGGAGGTGCGCGTGGTCAATGACGAAGTCAGGTTCGAATTATCCGACAACACGAAGAACGTAACACATCTGATCAGCGTCAAGAAGACCCCAGGGATCTGGCACTCCCTCAACCTCACGTACTCCGAAGGTGACCTCCATATGTGTGTGGACAGTCGCGAGAAACAAGAGAAAATCGGAGACCTGAAGTTCGCCATCGGTGACAAGATCAAGGTGGCCGCAGGTTCGAGGTCAAACTCGGGTCTCGTGGGGTGCATGATGGACATAGTGGTGAATGGTGCGCGTCTAGAACCGAGGTCTATCTTGCAGAGCGAAAGAGTGGTCGGTGAGGTGACGCTGGACGACTGTCGGTTCATTGACGCGTGTTTGAGGCCCAACACTTGTGAACACGGTGGCAAGTGTTCGGTGAAGGAAGACAGACTGATCTGTGACTGTACGAATACGGGCTATATCGGGAAGAACTGCCACTTTGCCCAGTACAGGAAGACCTGCGAAGAGTTGGCACTTTTGGGTGAGTTAGCATGACATTAGTATTTTAAAAATTCTAAAATGAATGACAATTTATGTTCAAATATCTGCTCCTGATAAAGTTAGACAGGATCACTTGCTGAATGGTATGCACCGTGGTTTACAATTCTTGATAATCCCATATCTTTTAATATGTTTCTATTTTTTTGGTTTTTATTTACTTAAAACAAAGTTAAATACTTAAGTATATTAATTATACTGCCCTAAAAAATATTCTTTTATACAAAATCAACTCATAATTTAATAACATGGAATGAGACTAAACAAAGATTAAAAGGCTAGACGCTAGGAGTCACCTTGTTGTACATACAATCGTTTGTTTACATTACCACTCATTATTGTAGTTTTACGTGCATGCTACTGAGGTATGAATTAAAAAAGTAAAGTTTCATTTTCTTGAAGAAGGTAAACTATATCCTACTATACATCCATTTCTTATTATTTTTGTATTCAAAGGTTAGAAAGGGACTTCGGTGGGGAAATTATAATGATGGGTGAGAGGAGTGGGAGTGCCCAATTGTCTCTAATTTAAATCCTTACATGGAATATTAATGAACTGAATTTATTCTTAATATCCTTAACATGCATTCCGACACTATTATAGCGACAATATACATTTCAATGTAAATATTTTGTTGATGATATGGCACTGCTTACATTTACTTAAGGACTAAATTTGATATCATGAAAAGGATGCTGACTCCTATGCTGTTATTTTCAATGGTTACCTTAATAGAATAACGACGCTTGATAGTCATGTAACTCATTTCTCTAGATTGATGGAGAATATTTTGGAGCGAAGTCTACCAACAGAAAGTTTAAACTGCATACGTTAAGGACATCGTCAAATTTTGCCATTTTAATTTATTAATCCTAATGTATGTGTTATTTCAAGAAGCTTTTTGTCTTTAAAAAAAAATTTTCAATGTCATGTATCATTTATCGTAAAAATGATATTATTAAGACCTGATCTTTAATCCTTTTAGCAAAACAGGTTTTACATAAAGTTATGTCTGTGATTTCCCATTTGCCTAGATTCATTTGTAATTGGTTTTACCACTAAATATACCTTTTTTCTTAATTACGTACATCTCAAGGATATTATTTAGAATTATGCGTATTTTCAAATAATGTACTCATTCGAAGGGCAACATTATATTATAAATATTTTTACACAGGTAAGCAGTAATTGTTGTTATTGGCGTGTATTAATCTTTAAATATAAAAAAGCTAATTCAGTCATTAACGACGCCATACCTAAATAAAAAGATGAAACATGCATATGCTTTGTGTTGTCTTTTTAAAATTGAGAACTTTTTCTAAATGTATTTCATAAAGCGAGCATTATTGTATTCCAGATTCTGATCAATTGCATTTATTAAAAAAAGGTCAATTGAATAGTCATTACCAATTCGCAAATAAATTATATTTTAGTTAATTCATTTGTATTTTGAAAAAGAAATGTATTTCAGAATTCGTCAAAAATATTTCAGCTCCTGTATGGATTTTACTTCAGCAGATATATTCTTGTTGAATTTCATTATTGTCAACAATAATTAATAACTTTCTAAAATACAAATGGTATTTTCTGAAAATCAATTTACATCATTTGAAATAATTACATATAAAAGATTTCAGAAATCGAACCGAATGGATCCTTTCTATAATGTATACATCTGGAAAAGGTGTAGACTATAAATTAGGTGCAAATATGTAATTTTATTTCATTATCATTAATTACAGTGATCGGGTGCTTGTTTTTTAAGCCGCTTCGTGGAGATCTCGGTTATCTTAAAATATACAAGATCGATCAAATTAGACAATGTTGCGCAAGCATAAGCTATCGATAAGTATTAGAGATCGTTATTACTGATTTTTTCCTCAAATTCCTCCAATTGCATTTATTAACAGATAATTATTTGACCACTACCAGTTTCTAGATTTACATTTTACATACATCACCTTTAAGCCACTTTTAAGGATTCAAGTTTTTAATTAAATTGTAATTTAATTTTGATGAACAATGTTTAAGCCAAAATGTCAAAAACAATACGCTATTGTAGATCCCGAAAGTAGTAGTAGTCAAATAATTATCTGTCGGTAACAAGGATTTTGATGAATTTTCCCTAAATTTGATACGTTATATCTTAAAATAACCGAGATTCTCATGGAATAAAACGGCACACGATATATTTAAAAGTATATTGAATATAATTCAGCCAAATTAAGCATTTCTTTGTGTTTGGAAAAACTGTATACCTACCTAGAGAATTTTGTCAAAGAGGAATTATCTAATCTTTTCTTAAAATATGACAAACTCCTATGTTTGTTCAATTGTTCGAAAAAAAATAAAATATACAAATATACAGGATGTTTTGGAAGAGCTGCTATAAATTCAATAGCTTTGATAGAACATCAAAAATAAGACTTTTTTCTGTGTACCATGGGCCTACGTCACAGATAGCTTTTTCATATATTTACCAAAAAAAAGCAATGAAATCATTAAAAATTATTCCATATATGTCGATTTTATTAGATTTTGCTAACTGCGACATTCCTTGCAACATTTTGCGGCAACTTTTTTGAGGTTATGTTCTCTACACTGTATGATGTATGTTATATAACGTGAAATTTCATTTTAAAAACGCAATGGACTCTCCCAAAGTCAATCAGCCTCCATTATGGAGTGTGTGCAAAACTAATGGGTCATAATATTTCAAAGATAGCTTCCTTGGACAAAAATAAATCGATATAAATCAAGTTACCTTGATCTTTAAAAAGATATTGGCTTTCGATTAAATTTTATTTATTCCATTTTGACTAATACTTACTACAGTTGTGTTAAATTGATCTAAATCCATTTACTTTCACCTAAGGAATCAAGGGGTAGCTTTTTTCAAAAAAAAACTTTTTGTGTAAAATGGAATACATTAGAATTTAGGACCTCCACTGCGAGAAACCTAACCTCACAAAGTTCTGTCGTCAAATTACACTGGTAACAGTCGTAGCTAGCGATATCTAGCAGGTGGTGAAACACTAACAACATCGATGTGTCAAAATATGACTAAAATTTGACTTTTAAAAATTATTTTTTACACTCCGTACATAAAAAGCAAAAGACAACGAGTTCATGATCCAATAAAAAAAACATTATTTTTGATGTTCTATTATCCCCTGAATTTATGACACTTTTATCCGAAACACCCTGTATTATCTTTAATACAGCTTGTAGATAACAACGGCTAGTTTCACATTCATTTAGATTTAACTGGTAAAACTTTAATGAAATTCCTAAATCGTAACATGATTTTAAAACAGTAAATGCTTAAAAACGTAAAAATCCAAATCCAGTGGTATTCCCGGAATTATAACCTTCTCTATTGTTGCAGGCTATACGAAGCCAGATGTTTATCTGATCGACATAGACGGAAATGGCAGATTTCCCCCCGCCCATGTCCGTTGCGAGTTCCAGAGCCTTGAAGACGCCACCAAGACCATCGTAGAACACAACCTGCCCAGCCAGATAGACGTACGTTCTCCGTCCGAGAAAGACTTCAGTTTCAGCATCAAGTACAGAGAGTTCAACGCCGAGATGTTGCAGGAGCTCGTCTCTCATTCCCTTAACTGCAGCCAGTACATCAAGTACGACTGCCAGAGGGCGCCCCTGGAGCTGCATTCCGCTACTTGGTTCATAAGTTCGGCAAATCAGACCGTCGATTTTATTGGAGATGTGAAAAAGTAGGTTTTCCTTTTGAGATAATTAAGAAACATGTTAATAGTTCCGCTCCGTCTGAAGAGAGTAACTGGGAGTTTGAGAAATGCTGCAGTGTGCCTTGCATTTTTAAATGTATGCATGGCACACTTAGTTGTATTAAGAAGCAATCGATTTAGGATATAAATAATAATTATCGGTGCTTATATCTTCAAAAAAACAATAATAATAATAAAAATATAATCTATGACGTCTTGTATATAAATCACGAAAGATGAACACATATTTCCAATACCCTGTATAACGCAATCTTTTTGGTGAATCTCTATGTAATATAAAGCATTTCTCAAATTTCTCACAAATTAATCTGAAGTGTACTGAAGAAGAAATAATGATTAAGGAAATTAAAAGTTTCTCAAAAACTAACAGCAAACTAATAATATTTCACGAAAAAAACTTCCCAAACATTGCAACTTAAAAGGATGCAAAATCCTTCGTTAGGTCTTCAATCAAGAAGAAAGTGAAGAGTAAATTTTGTGTTTCAAAGGTACCTTTCAACCTTGTTTCTAATGGAGAGTCCTATTTCAGAATATCAGAAAAACATGATGAAACAATACAGGGTGTTTCAGTTCGACTGAATCAAACTTTAACCACAAATTTGTTTAGACAAGTTGTGAAGAGCCCTGTAGATATTTCAATACGTAACTCCACTGTTGTTATATTACATTTATTAAGAATAAACAATAAGTTTATCTTAATACTAATAAAAAATAATAGTGAACTAATGCACTTAAGAAATTTTTCTACTCATCATATACAGGGTGTCCCCAAAATTTTAATTGTCAAAAAAAATCATTCTTCATAAAAATTTTTGCTTGTCCAGAAGCCCCTGGCAAGATAGTCATTTGTTCAATTTAATGTACAGGGTGTTCAAAAATTTGGAAAATATAAAAGCAGTACAGAGTAAAGTACCTTAAATCTTAACGCTACGTGAAAAAGTAATGGGGAAAAGTTGCTTGGAATTAAATTTTATGTTTAAATATGAAAGCATAGCCTTCTAGTTAATACTCGACATTCTGGGATATCCTAGGACTCTACTTATTTTTTAATACTTTCGGAGAAGCCATTCTATTTAAAAAATATTTATTGAAAAACAGATACACATGTTTGCATATTAATAATTTATTTTTTATACAGGGGGATCAAAAACATTAATCCAACATTTATTTTGAGAACACAGCAGAATCAGTATGTACGCGCCATTACAAAACTATTCTACATGAAGTCCGCCAAGTTCAACACACACTCTCCAATCTTTTTCTAAATGCAGCGTAGGTCGAATATATCATTTCTTCATTTACTTGGGCAACAGCTTCAATTATCCTGCTTTTCAAGAAATCAACATTGTGTTGCACTGATTCTCTGTACATTCTTTCTTTCAAGAAGCCCCAGAGGAAATAATCAAGTGGTGACAAGTCAGGAGACCTTACTGGTCAACAAATAGGACCACTATCCACTTCTCTTGAAATTTTCTGTTAAGCCAATTGCGGACTAGAATTGTTGAGTGAGCGGGACATCCGTCTTGTCGGAAATACGCTATTTGTCTATATTCTAAATGTTCTTCTAATTCTGGCCATAAAAACGTTCTACGAAAGTATTAAAGTCCTAGAATATCCCAGAATGTCGAGTATTAACTGGAAGGCCATGCTTTCATATTTAAACATAAAATTTAATTCCAACCAACTTTTCCCCATTACTTTTTCACGTAGCGTTAAGATTTAAGGTACTTTACTCTTCACTGATTTTACCTTTTCCAAATTTTTGAATACCCTGCACATTAAATTGAACAAATGACTATCTTGCCAAGGACTTCTGGATAAGCAAAAATTTGTATGAAGACTGATTTTTTTTGACAATTGAAATTTTGTATCCATTTCAGGTGTAGGCAACCCAAACTGGGGACACCCTGTATATAGTGTGGCTTAAATAAATGTCTAATTACCATCAATAGTTGTACTTTTATACATATTTCATTACATCGGTGCAGTTGATGTGCATCCGAACACCGCAAATATATATGACGTGTATATTAAAAAATGTTCTATATTCGGTGTGGTCCACTTTTAAGACTAGGTTATTTCCGGTTAAAAAAAAAACATCTAGAAGTCGCAAGTGTGAAAAATTAATTTTTAAAGCCCTCAATCGATTGTACAATTTTTTTATTAAAATTGGAGTTAATAAAATTACCGGTGTAACCATATAAAGTGCGAAATATTTTAGGGGGTAGTTGCCGAAATTATTTTGGGAAAAAAAGTTCATATAAATGTAGGTCGGAATATGTTTCATTCCCGAGATACAGTGATTAAATTTTAATTTTTTATTTATTTTTATTAATTATTTCAGTTTTAAAGATATTGACTCGAAATTTGAAAAACGCTTTGGAGGGATAAATGTGCATAATGTAATCCGAATATTTCTACTTGCATCAGTGGCGTTCGTGCGAGAATCTCACAACTTTTTTAATTGAAAAAAAAAATGGTACGCCACTGCCTTTTTCCCGTTTTGATATTTTTTTAGAAATCCGCCATCAATTCTGAATGAAATTGGTCCCTTCAATTTTTCTTGCAAGATGCATCGTTTTTAAGGAAAAAAATAAGAGATGTTATTGCAAGTTGTGTATTTTTAATTTCTATTGATACAGTATCTAGTAGGTTTCGAGTCGATATTTTTAAAACTCTGAAATAATAAAAATAAATAAAAAATTAAAATTTAAACACTGTATCTCGGGAACGAAGCATATTTCGACTTACGTTCATAAGAACTTTTTCACAAAATAACTTCGGTAACCACCCCCAAAAAAAATTTCTCACTTATTTACAAACGCCCTGCATGTGAAAATATTAAATTTGTTGCTATTGTTTTGAGATGCCCTTACAAGCTTGTGGTAAAACTGTTGTTTATTCTAAATGCTTACTCATATCCGTCACTTTGAAGAACATTTCTTTCGTACGCTTCTTGAAGATAAAGACGGAGCCCCATAAATAAGGTGATTTGTTAGTTTTTGTTTCCTAAAACCAGCTTTACAGGGGTACATGTCCCTGTTCTATAGGAAAAAAGTGCGAAAATAAATCGCAATGGTGCAACTGCGAAGACATCGAGGATGACAAGTGGTACACAGACGACGGGTACTACACAAGCGGAAATAGTCTGGGCATCACCGAAATGGTTTTCATACAGCAGCGCGACCTTCCCGCGGATGCCCTGGGAAGGATAACGCTGGGTCCTTTGGAATGTGTGGAGACGAGTAAGTCTGCATGTTCGTTCTTATTATTGGTTTAGATTGAATGATTTATCGTTTAAAGAAAAATATGAATAAATAATTATTCCAGACATTAAAGTTAATATTAAAAAATATTATCATTTGTCATTTTAGATGTTTAGTTTCTAGGAAAACTACAGGTTTGAAAATCTGAAGAAGTCTCTACTGGAAGCTTATTTTCCTTTAGTTTCCGCACCTAAAAATATTTGCAGAAAATAAAAATGTAGGTACCTACACTAAAGTTTTTACTAACTAAACTGAAAAGGAGAGGCAAACTGATGATTTTTATTTAGCGGACGTTCGTGGTATTTTCAAGATATTTGCAGGAATTAGAAGTGACTTCTGTTTAACCAATCGGTTAACTAATCAGTGCTAATTTTATCTGCACACATTTCAACTAATCTTTAATTGTGGCTATTTGTTATCAAGGTTACTGTTTATCGCGTCAGATAAATATGTGACGTAAAGTTTACACTTTATTAGTCAAAAATTGATTGGCAAACATAAAGTATGAAATATGTCTTTCAATTTTCGTGGAGCTACCCTTATATTAGGTATTTTAAATTGAAATGTTTTGACATTTTAGTAGGTACTTGAAAAGCAATTATTCTGATGTAACTAATTTTGATAGACTTTTTTGAAGATTTTTTTATCTAAAAGTTAGTTTAGTATTTTTTAGTTAGTTCTGCGAAAAAGGCACTTTCCGTTAATTGTTCTGATTCCACAATTCTCAAAAAAAAACTATTAGGGGCACAACTACTACAAAGATATTCTAGTCTGAATAAAATATATTTAAAAGTTTTTTTGGATATGAATATCCAAACATTTAGTTTTTCTACCTTAACGCAACCCTGTGGAAAACTATCAAAATTAGACAAGCTTTTTCTCTTACTTTTATACTGAAACAAAAGTACATTAAATAATTCTGGAACACTACTAGCAAAAAAGTTTGTAAAAATAGGTTATTTTTCATATTAAAGAGGATTTGGAAAATAAAATTAGGCAAATATGCGCCAAAATTACTAAGCAAGAGAAAGGAAAGGTAATAAAACGGTTGAAAAATGCATAGAAAAAGCAGATTGGGAAAATGAAGCGTACCGTTTTTACATAATTTTTTTTAAGTATCACATTTTACCACACATATTTTCAATACTAATCTGATTTAATTGTTACCGAAAATTTAAATAATTTTATAATAAAAACAAAACGAAATTGAAAAATTTGTAATAAAAAATTATTGGATATGATCATTTTCAGTAACACACAATTCAAAAAAAAAAAATCGAGTCCGCATCAGATTTTCTTCATTCTGAAAATTATCTACGGTTCTCATATAATTAATCTAATTTAAGCCTCTTCAAATAAGGATAATCACTGAGATTCAAACTCGATAATCACCGTTTACTGAATGGGATAAATCTGAGACGAGTGCAATTATTAACATTTTTATAAAACATGCTAATATTGACGATTATTTCCAAATATTCCCTTGAAAGAATATTCGACTAAACTTTATGTAATCTACGAAGCATTGTTTCATTTTTATTATCAAATTATTTACGGTGATTAAAAGAGAAACGACTTAAAACAAATTTACGATAAAATAAAAGCTAAAGTTGTATTACTATACGTCCTATATTTTTCTCATTCTGTAAACGCAGTCACTTTCGTTATTATGTCAAAAAGTGGCATCTGTATTCAACTACTAGTATAGCAAATCTTGTTTAAACAGGACAAAACGTTTTAGTTATTTGGAAAAAACATTTTTTGGCAATTCTAAAGCAGCTAAAGGAAGTAGAATTGGTAAAAAATTGCGTCAAAATGCCATAGTTTATTCTTTTTACGAATAGCCTCTATATGAGAACGTACCTATAATGATTAAATTAAAACTTCGATGATATCCAATAGCACTTCGAGGAACTCGTTGACAATTTAAAGTTAGTTACATTGCATCTATAGGTAACAGGTTGTAGAGTTCCACAATGTAAAAAATGTAGAAAGTTGTCACCAAATAAGTTATGCAATAAACACTATATTTATTAAAATATATGTGTTTTAAATGTTAATAGAAATGCAATGTTTATTTGTAAGTTTATACCCAAATATTTATGACTAGGTTTTGAATTAGAATATATCTATAAAATCACTAATTGTCAGTAAAATATTAAAAATATTTTGTTAACGGTAATTTTTGAAGTTCATCGGATACAAAAAATAGAACACCACTTTTGGAAAAATCCCTAAGACATAATTTGTTATTTAACTCAACTTGTAATCATATAATATATATCTAATAATAATAATCTAGTATTCATTACTACTTGAATTTCGTTAAAATATATCATTATCCTTAAGTATAAACGAAAAATATGAACCTGAAATGTACATTTTAACACTTTAACAACATTTTACGATGAATGTCTTAATAATAACGTTGCCCGACTACACAAAAAGTAATTTAATATGTTAACTTGAGCCATAATCATCAAGATATTTAATGCTGGATTAATGTAAATACCTTTTTTATCATACAGCATTAAGAATTTTATGTGTCGTAATTCACGTATTAAAAATAAATTGCATATCTACTTACATTTCAAAATTGAAACAAAATTAATCAAATCAGCTTATGTTTAATACGAGTATAATATCTCAAGTACTTTTTTAAACAGGACAATTATTGGCTTTTATTTTATTCAATATATATGTTAAATTATAAGGAATTGATACTGTAGCTATTTCTTCTTTGGAATATTTTTAGCTGTTTTCGTATCATATATTTTCGCTGAATTTCTGTTTATTTTTATTTATTTACTACTTCCAATTATGTTTAAGTATAAAAATTGCGTCAATATTTTAAAATAAACAAATTGTAAGAGAATTCCGAGTAGGTACGTTTTCGCTTTAAAGCCGAGTATAGCATGCGATTTGAGAGATAACCTCCAGAGTTCATTTAATTAATTCTTTAAACAAACAAATTGTTTAAATAAGGTCTTTGACTTGATTCCACAATACATTTCAATTGTTTTAATGCCGTCTTCCTGTGCTACAAGCCACCAACCCCTAGGCAACATATCGCGGTTCCCCAACTGATAAAAGAACGCGATATTTCTCCATAGGCATCGTTTACAACATTTTTCTTATAAATAAAAGTAGGCAGGCCACAATTAGTTTTCATTGCATTAAAACGACATAAATTGGTCAATTTGAGTTAGTCATAAAGTAAACATTTGCGCCCCCTTCTCTATTTAGAAGCAATTGGGTGCAGTTATGTTCAATGCAACCGCAAAGATTTTTTAATATGATTATCTCCGCAATAAAGGCAGGCCTTTCCGAAACGTGAAGTCATCTTAACTCAACTCTAATATCTACATTAAAAAAATTAGAAGTTTCATTGATAATTTATGGAAGGAATAATAAGCTGAAAGTAAACAAATAATTATTTATTTGTAATCCAAAAATGTTACCAAATTAAAGATTTTATGTTAATTATTTTATTTATTTATTTAAATATGAGAAAATTAATGAAAAAGTTGTCAAGAGTATGCTCCTTTTTATACGATGTATTTTGTAAAATAAATCTTTTGACTATTTACAGTGACCAATTTTGTAATTATGTATTGTAAAATAAGAGATAGTGATATTTTTTTGTAAAATTTCGTAGCAATGTCAGTGAATATCTTTGTTTTACTAGTCTTTTAGCAGATATATGTATCGATTATTTCAGATACACAGCGATATGTTGTTACTTTTACGACAAGCCAGTCGTACATAGAAGTCCCTGGTTGGCGAAAAGGAGATTTGGCGTTCTCTTTTAGAACAACAGGCAAAAAGGCCATTCTTTTATACCAGCCCCCAATACGACCAAATTATCCTAGCTTCATGGTTGCTTTAACAAGTGGTACGTTTAAATATAATTGATTAAATAAATGTATTTAAATAAACCTAAGTTTATCATGTATGTACTTGTAGAATGTTTGTCTTTTCTTTAAGACTTTCAGCTGACGTTCAATTTCACGCTAAACACCGGTGTATCTAAAGAACTTGTAATAGATTCCGGTAGAAAGCTAAACGGAGGCGAATGGCACAAAGTTTGGATAGATTACAATAAGTACCACGTGAGATTCATGATTAACGAGGACTCCCAAATGGTTAATCTAAAACCAGAAGAAGAATTTGGACCTTTTGAAGGGTCTATGTTTATTGGGGGAGCCATAAGGTAAAGACTGCATCCGTGACTGAAAATATACACGAGAAATAATTTTTTAGTGACCTCCTTGACCCGAAATCGTCCGTGCACCAAGGTTTGATCGGATGTTTTCGCGGTTTAGTTGTCAACGAAGAAATCTTGGATATTTACAGCTACATGAGCGTCCACCTGAGTGAAATAATCAAAGACTGCAAGCCTTCCTGTGTTCCAAACCCATGCCAGAACGGAGCTCACTGTAAGGAGCTCTGGAGCAACTTTGAGTGTATCTGTCCAAATCGATGGGCTTACAGCGGAGAACATTGCGAAACTAGTAAGCAAACATTTTACTGTTTTGATCTTTACATATAAATAAATACCTTGTAGATATCAACACGAACGCCATTACTTTCACCCATCCAGAGTCATTCTTACGGAGGAACTACTTGACCAACGACACAAGCTTAGAGAAAGGCGTTTTAAAGAAAATGTTCCAAGAGCAGATATTGGTGAACCTCCGCACGTACGAAAACGTGGCTCTGATATTTTACGCAAACGACCATTTGAACAATTTCGTTCACCTGTACATCGAAAATGGAACGCAAGTTGTGTTTTTGTTCAACTACGACAATGAGATTCATAACGTTACCGTGAATTATTCAGAACTGAACACAAGCAAATCGATTCAAATAGCTATAGAGCGCGACGAAAATAAAACAACTTTGCACGTGAACGACCAAAATAACACCATCGCTGCCGGTGTGAAACTTATACAGGAATACTCCAATAAACCTTGGATAAACCCTGAAAGAGGTAAGAGTTGTTAAATTCAGAAAAAGGTAAAAGACGATGTAAGAAAAAATAGATCGTAAAATAACATACTTACAGAGTTAGTATTTTGATGTTTACATGTTAAGGCGTCGTAATTTCAGAGGTGTTTGCACCACAAAGACCTCCGGCTCCTCCCACGGAATATTTCCAACTCAATCTGGGCGGTTTTGACCCTGAAACTTTATTAAAGGTCTCTGAATACCCACCGAAATTACCAGGATACGTAGGTTGCCTAAGAGGACTTAAAATCGGCGATACCCTAATGGATTTACCGTCCAAGGTCAACGAAACAGATGACAAAGGTGGATTTATTGCCTTTAACTTTAATTTTTCTCTTCCAACTGTTTATATTTTAGGAGTTATTGCCCACTGCAACATGAAATGCGACGAGGTTCCGTGCAAGCACGAGGGTATCTGTATTGAAGACTTTCGAAACCAAGAGCATACATGCGATTGCGAACACACTAGCTACTACGGGGAGTTCTGTTCCGAAGAGAAAGGAGCCGAATTTAATGGAGAATCAATACTGTGGAGAGAGTATGTTCTAAATGGATCTGTAGACCACGTTAAGTTCCAGCTAGCGTTTTCCACAGTTGACGTCAGGCAGAAGAATACTATATTGTTGCTACTTCAGACGGAAAACAAGTATGTATGAATGCACTGATCTTAAAGTAACAAATGTAACATCTAAATTTCAGTCGGAGTTACTATCTACTAGTGGGCTTAAGTCTGGAAGGATATCTTACAGTTCAGGAAGATAGAGAAGGTGCTGTGTTTTCAGCGACTGTTAATAAAAAGAATTTTATCAATGGTGCTAGGCACTCCGTCTACTACAAAAGAGATGCTAACGATTTCGAACTGTACATTGATAGGGAGTTGACACCAATGAAACAAATCCCAGCTCAAAAATTTACCCACATCCCCGAATTGGGCGCTAATGAAGTCCATATTGGTGGACATGACACTAATGATCCCAGGTTTGCCATTTACAAGAGATATAGTGGATGTCTGTCAAGTAAGAAATAGTATAATTAAATTGGTCTTTAGCTTCTTAACAGATCTAGATTCAGGATCTACATATAACAATTATTTTAGATATTTTCATTGAAGTAAATGAACACACTATGAAGCCATTAGAAGAATACATGCTTTTTACGAGTAATGGAGCTGAAAAAGTCAACGTATCCAATCAGCATGGAGTCAGAAGTGCACAGTGTAGTGCAGACTTTGATGTTATCCACGAAAAAACTCCACTAACCACGAATCTCAATATAAGTCAGGTAGATACCTACATTTCATCTTAGGTATTTAATTCAGTTTTATACAACTGGCACAGAATTATTTCACTAATTAAATTATGGTAAATTTTCTCAGGGTGCTGATAAAACATGGGTACAAGATGCACCTCAGCGCAAACCATACCACTCAATATACTCCACAACTACCGAAGAAGAAGATGGCAAAGAGCAGCTTATCGTCATAATTCTGGCATCATTTTTCCTGTTGGTTATAATCATTTTTGGCTACCACATCTACATAACTGACAAAAGGTATAAAGAGAGAAAGGAATTTGAGACTGACGCTAGTATAATACTTTCCAAGCAGCAGGCAGCAATACTTCAGGAAAATAGTAAACCCGTAAGTTATATATTTACATTTTAAAGAAATAAAAACATTCTGTTCAATTCGATGTAGCCCAGTGACACGGATGAAGTGAAACCACTTACGCAAAATGGTAAACTACCAAATGCAAATGGTAATGGTACCACTGCAAACGGTAAAAATAAACATGAACCCATCGTTGAAAAAGCTGTTGTTGAAGTTACACCGATTCCAGAAGAAGTTCCACTGAAACCATTGAAGGCAGACAGTAAACGAGAGAAACAGAGAAGAATAAGTTTCAGAGGTAAACCTTCTGCAGTAGTGGTACTACTTCATATAACTTTTCTTTGTATACTTTATTCTTTTATTAGACAGTGCCAGCGAATTGGCCTGGGACAATCCTGAAGAAGCTTCCGACCTCTTAAGCCCTATGCCTGAAGAGGACGAAGATGAAGAATCCGAAGAAGAATTGAGTCTAAAACCTGTAAGTATTGTGAATCCTACGGGTAACATAGAAAGCATGGCCCCTCTCAGCTCTATAAGCGAAGTGACCCTATTTAATCCTGATCGGAGATCATTGGTAAGCACTGATGAAGAATAGTTTTTTAACAGCTTGGTCTATTTGTCGATACGTTGGTACTTGTGTTCCAAAAAAACAGGATTAAGGATGTGTGCTAATTAGAGCTTTAGCATGTACATAATCGCGCCCATCGTTCATAAATACAATTCGTTTAACAAATGCTTGGACCATTCTTCGACACTCATAACTTTTCACGACATTACAATCAACTGAAATGGAAATTCATCCACTACCAGAAAATGGTAAACAAAATGCATGTCAACAAGTTGCAGGAGGAATGCATGATATGCATGATTAGTTATTTATAGGATTGCGACAGCATGGTGTACGTTATTTTAATATGTTGGTGGGACTAACACGATCACGATTTAATTTAGGCTATACCAGTACCATTAACACCATCGGCACGACGTCTAAGGAGCCCACCACCACATAGCAACCCATTGGCAACTCAACTGCCTTATATGATAGATGAGATGGGGGCTTAAATTAATCAACAGTCATAACAAAATCATTATTTTCATTCACGTTGGGTAATGGTTCATTTTGGATGATTTTATCAAATAATCAAACAAAAATATTGATAGATGTAGACAGACATTCACAAATTTCAGGAAAAAATCTTATGGAAGTTCATGATGAAACAGAAAAATTGGTAAAATCATTCTCAGTTGTAATTTGGAGTTTCCAAAATTTAATATCTGTGGTTGTCAGTTATCTGTGGTGTAGGATTATTTGTTGAGAGTGGATATTATATTTCTTGTCAACTAATGACTGATGTTGGTTAAAAATTATAAAAGTATTTAATAAACATAATCATATTTTTGTTTTATTTTTAACAGGTTCGATGATCGTCATGTCAGAATTTTAGTTCTCTTATTTCGTTTAATTATCAAATAATATGTTTTTCTTGCAAAAGGTATCATCAAGCTTGTGAAACATCGATGTAAATACAAAATAAAAACAATGGCATTTTGCTAAACTAGATATTCGTATAGTGCAAGCAGTAGAACTAATATGTTTGTAATATTTGTCTGTACCAAATATGTATCATCCTCATAGAATAACCTTTTGTTCATGTGGCATGTTAAATTGGGTGGTGTTTTTTAATTAACAAAATGTAACCATTCAAATCAAAGAATTCGTGAATTGTCATTGTACAGACCCTGCATCAAACACACAGCTTAATCAGAAATATCAAACACATTATTCTTAAAAAGAAACATTAAAAGTAATCCCTTTAGGCTTCTGTACATTACTAGCGATTTTTCCATTATTGAAACTTTCAAGTAAACAGCTTTAAATTTGAAAGCTGTTTCGTGTTTGTATGTTGCTTTTTCGCTTTCATTTCTCCCGTAGAGTCGAAATGAGGTACTTGTAATTGGAGTTTCATTGGGGAAGACGAAGAGGTTGCCGAGCAGCTAAGGAAGGAGGGATTGAAGGGGACATTTTTGCTCTTTGTTAAAAACTATCTGACTAGGAGCAAGGTGCGTCATCCATATTTCACGTTGCTTGCGCCTCACATTTTTTCTGAGGGTTTGGACCGTCATAGTAAAATTTCCCATTGACAGTTTCACAATGAGTGCAATGAACTTTTTAGCCTGAAATGTGGATGAACAATAAGTAGATATTGCATTATGACAATAATAATTCTTCTTTCCTTATCGTGTATTTCATTGACTCTATCGGTGAAACCAAAGAGAAAACACCGCTGACAGCAGGCCTAAGGGAATTAAGACTTATGATATCAATAATTGTTTTATATGCATATTTTTGGAACTTTGGCAAAAAACTTATTTTAAAAATTAAATCGCTTTTTAACCTTCCGTCAAATAAATAGACATATCGTACTTTATTGCTGCATCAATTACAAATTATCGATAATATATTCAGAAATAACTAAATTTTCGGGGAGCATTTTATAAAAAAAGAAACAAAACATTCAGCAATTCATTAAAATTAAGATACAAACTTGATTAATACTGAAAATCCTCCCTACAGCCCCT